GAATTGGTCTGTAATTCTCTTTCTTTGTTGAACCTTTGAGTGGTTTGAGTAACACAGTGATTGTGGCCTCATAAAATGAATTTGGCAGTATTTTTTCTGTTTCTATTTTGTGGAATAATTTGAGGAGGGCTGGCATTAGCTCTTCTTTGAAAGTCTGTTAGGATTCTGTACTAAAACCACTGGACCCTGGGCTTGGTTGGGAGACTTATAATGACTGCTTCTATTTCCTTGGAAGTTATAGGTCTATTTAAGTTGTTTGTGCGATCTTGATTTAACTTGGATAAGTGGTATGTATCCAGAAAATTATCAATTTCTTTTAGTTTTGTAATGTTGTGGAGTGCAAGCTTTTAAAGTATGACCTAATGATTCTTTGGATTTCCTTGGTGTCTGTTGTTACGTTTCCCCCCTTTTAATTTCTAATTTTGTTAATTTGGATATTCTCTCTGTGTGTCTTTTAGTTAGTTTGGGAAAGGGCTCATCTATCTAGTTGATTTCCTCAAAGAACCAACTCTTGTTTCATTGATTCTTCATATTGTTCTCTGTTTCTATTTTATTGATTTCAGCCCCCAGTTTGATAATTTCCTGCCATCCATTCCTTTTGGATGTGCTTGCTTCCTTTTGTTCTAGAGCTTTTAGGCATGCTGTTAAGTTTCTAGTGTGAGATCTCTCTACTTTCTTCATGAACGTACTTATTGCTATGAACTTTTCTCTTAACATGGCTTTCATTGTGTCCCATAAGTTTGAGTATGTTGTGCATTTAGTTTCATTGAATTCTAGAATGTCTTTAATTTCTTTCTTATTTCTGTAGCGACCCAGGAGTCATTTAGTAGAGATTTGTTCAGTTTCCATAAATTTGTAGGCTTTCTGTTATTTCTGTTGTTGAAATCCAGCTTGAATCTGTGGTGGTCTGATAGGATGCAGAGGGTTATTTCAATATCTTTTGTATTTGCTGATGTGTGCTTTGTGATTGAGTATGTGACCAATTTTCTAGAAAGTTCCATGAGGTGCTGAGAAAAAGGTATATTCTTTTGTGTTTGGGTGAAATATTCTGTAGATAGCTGATAGGCCCAATTGTTTTATAACATCTGTTAGCTCCAGTACTTCCCTGTTTTGGTTTTGGCTGAATGACCTGTCTGTTAGCAAGTGTGTAGTATTGAAGTCTCCCATTATCAATATGTGATTTAAGCTTTAGTAATGTTTCTTTTACAAATGTGGGTACCATGAATTTTGGCATAGATGTTTAAGAATTGAAACATAATCTTAATGGATTTTTTTCTTTGATGAGTATGAAGTGTTCTTCCTCATCTCTTTTGATTAGTTTTGATTTGAAGTCTATTTTTTTTAGATCTTAGAATGGCTACACAATCTTTCTTCATAAGGCCATTTGCTTGGAAAATCCTTTCCAGCCCTTTACTTTGAGGTAATGTCTATCTTTGATGTTGAGGTGTGTTTCTTGTATGCAGCAGAAGGTTGGATCCTGTTTTGACATCCATTCTGTTAGCCTGTGTCTTTTTATTGGGGATCTGAGTCCATTGATATGAGAGATATCAGTGACCAATGTTTATTAATTCCTTTTTGTTTGTTTTGTTGTTGCTGCTGCTGGTGGTTCTCTCTCTCTCTCTCTCTCTCTCTCTCTCTCTCTCTCTCTCTCTGTGTGTGTTTGTGTGTGTGTGTGTGTGTGTGTGTGTGTGTGTGTGTGTCTGTGTGTGTGCGTGTGCTTCTTTTCTTTTGATTTTGCTGGTGTGAGATTTAAATATTTATTTTTTCATGAGTGTAGTTGACCTCCCTGGGTTGAATTTTCCTTCTAGTATCTTCTGTGGGGCTGGATTTATACATAAATACTATTTAAATTTGACTTTATCATGGGATATCTTGTTTTTTCCTTCTACAGTCCTTGAAAGTTTTGCTGGATATAGTAGTCTGGGCTGACATCTGTGGTCTTGTAGAGTCTGCAATACATCTGTCCAGGCTTTTAAGGTCTCCACTGAAAAGTCAGGTGTAATTCTAATAGGTCAATCTTTATGTCTTACTTGCTCTTTTACCTTTTAATATCCTTTTTTTTTGTTCTGTATGATTTGGGATTGATTATTATGTGGGGCATGTACTTTCTTTTCTGGTCCAATATATTTGGCAGTCTATAACCTTCTTGTACCTTTATAGGCATCCCCTTCTTGAGGTTAGGAGTGGTTTTTTTTTTCTATGATTTTGTTGAAAATATTCTCTGGGCTTTTGAGCTAAGATTCTTCTTCTATTCCTCTTGTTCTTATGTTTGGTCTTTCCATAGTGTCCCAGATTTCCTAGATGTATTGTGTCAGGAATTTTTTAGATTTAACATTTTCTTCGATCAATGTATCAGTGTCTTCTATCTTTTATGCCTGAGATTCACTCTTCCATCTCTTGTATTTTTTGGTGATGCTTGTGTCTATAGTTTCTGTTCACTTACCTAGATTGCCCATCTCCAGCATTCCCCCAGTTTGTGATTTCTTTATTGCCTTTATTTCCATTTTCAGGTCTTGAAGAGTTTTATCCATTTCCTTCACCTGTTTGTTTGTTTTTCTCTTGGCTTTCTTTAAGGGATTTATTCATTTCCTCTTTAAGGATCTCAATCATGTTCATAAAGTTGGTTTTAAGGTCCTTTTCTTGTGCTTCAGCTGTATTGGAATACTCAGGGCTTGGTGTAGTAAGATAGCTTGGCTCTGGTGATGCCATATTGCTCTGTTGTTGTTGTGTTCTTAGTCTGACATCAAGGCATCTGAGTTTGGGGTAATTGTAGGTCTAGCCAATTTCTCGGTTTGTCATTGTTAGGTGGGTGTTTTGTTCTTTAGTTTCTGTTTCTTCTCTGGTCTTCTGGCTACTGTGGCCTGAGGTTGAGTAAGGGGTCTCCACTTCACGCTGGACTTCTGATGGCCAGCATGGCCTCTGGTTGAGCAGGGGATCTCCTCCCAAGGTGCTGAGACATAGTGAAGCAGAGAAAGTGGGAATCGAGGATGGGGTCGGGGGCGCCAAGAGAGTGGAGAGTTTGGTGAGCATGTGGCCTACATAGGCTTCTGAGACTGGCATGTTCTCTGGTAGAGCAGGGATTGCTCATTTCTTATTTAATTAAAATAAAAGGAAATTGTTTCTTTTCTTTCTGTTTTCTTTTGCTTCAATTTGGAATATAGACATGGTAGCTGAAACAGGAATAACTATGCTTGGCTGTGCAGGGGAAGGGGTCAGAGACCTATTGTGCCCATAGTAATAGTAGACTGCTGATATATATGAGAAGGCAGTAAATACGCTTCAATCTTATTTGGGCATCTGTACCATTGAGCAATCTATAGCGCACATTATAATATGCTCATGAAAAAGACATAGGAAGCCTATAATCTTGCAATCCAATTAAAAATTATAATTGGGGGGATAGTAGAACATACATGTGAAAGAAGAATTAAGGAGGAGATTGGGTAGGTTAATCAAATGCAAATTCACTAGTTTGTAAGCTAATTAAAATTTTTTAATTGAGTTTGAACAGAGGAACACTGTGTGTGTGTACAATGCTGCTTCTGGAAGACATAGGCTTCTATGGTAAACGTTTTGGGTCAGGCATGGGATACTTTCATTAAGGAGGCCCTAGATGTCCCCCAGATAACACAGGGTATTGCCACTGTTCTTAGTTGCTCACCATAGCTAGATGGTAAGCCTCTATTGCTGAAGACACCACATAATTTGGTTGCAGGACATAAAGAAATCAGTCTCAAACTGAAGAGAAAAATTCCTCCCTGCTGGGTTAGATTTTATAATGCTGGGAAGTACGTTGCAGGTCACTGGGTGGAAGTAGGACACTGATGGTCTCATGCATGATGCAATATCATCCTCTAACATAAGATGTGCCCACTATTGCAATAACAGTCTCACTGTTATGGGGACAATCAGTCACTTTCTGATTCGATCTGAGGTCTGTACCATGGAAGGGAACTGGTGTGAGGTACTATAAACAGGGTGAAAAGCTCATGGCTAGAGAAGCCATAGGTCCTAGAACAGACCTATTGTTGTTACCTTGCTAAATAATCATGTTGTCAAACTCTTTCTAAAAATATTTATGTTTATGCCCATAGAGCTGTGCTGCTTTCAGTCTTCTGACAGTGGACAGTTTTCATAGAGACTCATATCTCAAGGTGTTGAGAATAAGTGACTCTGATTGTTCATTCCTAAATGAGACATCTATATCAAATCTCCTCCTTAGGCTCAGGCAACATCACAGAAGAGGTGATAGAGTGTAAGAGTAGGAATAAGAAGGAATGCTATGAAGTGCTGTCTTCTGAACATAGCACTGATTCCGTCTTCATGGACTCATAGCAGTTGTGGTTGTCTGTACCAGATCAAGCCAGTCAAAATCCTAGCATGAAGGGAAAAGGGCTCCCAAGGCTCCATCCCTATCTGAGGAGACATTGGCAGTTCATAGAAGCTGAGAGAGAGTATTTTTCTTTAAAAGTGTAGTTATCAGTAGAATGTCCATACTCTGGTGGACAGCTCACACCCATGCGGCACTAACTGGAGTCAGTATGAAAGACATATAAAGTCAGAATGAAGATGTATTGGAGGAGGGACCAGGGAGTTGAATGGAGGAAATGGAAGTGAGTACTATCAAAATACATGCGTATATGCATGCGCAATATATGTGTGTATATATATGTATATATATTATATATAGCTTTGCATGTTTGTGTATGAAATTCACAGAGAATAAATAAAATACTATAAAACAAACTGCAACAAAGTACCCTATTTATAACAATGAAACAATTTGTTAAAGTAGGTGTGCCCTATTGGTTGAAGGTCGTTTTATATGTCCTGTGCAACATCTTAACTCACTTCTCTGTAGTGAGCACAGTATGTAACATACTTCACTTGTCAATTAGTATGCCTATTTTTGTCGAGAACTGTAAAGTAGTCTGATATCTAACACTGAAGTGTCAGAATCATTTTAGATTGCCTTGTAAGCCAGGGAGTTGATGCTGGTCTTACCTTGTAGATTCATGAGGAAAAGAAGTCCCAACTTTGTTTTCTTTAGTTTGGCTTTTCCATTGTGTAGGTTTTGTAGGTGGAACAGCAGGTTTGGGGACTAAGCCTTTATAAACACTCGGACCAGTTCCATTCTTAACTGGCTGTGACGGAAGGTTTCCTGCTACTGGGAATCCAGATAGCTGTAAGTCTTTTGTATTACCTTTCTTAATGACCAGCATTCTTGGAGCTCTAGATTTAGGATTCGGGGGATATTCTAAGAGAGGAGCTTGGGAGATTTTTTTGGTTGGGTATGTGTGTGTCTGGGCGTGTAGGCCCCATACACCCGCAGCTAAAGATTTATTCTGATTTGGTTCTCTCTCATATTCAGGATTTAAAGATGGAAAGTCCTCAGCCTCAAACTGTCTGCGTTCTCTCTTGTCTTCTTTCTTCCCAGTGTCATTGTCAGGGATGCTGTTTTCATGTAGTCCTTGGCTTTTTCCAGAATGGAAAAGACTGCTACGAGAACGGGAATTTCCACCATGGTATCCCCCTCGATGATTTATGTTTTCTGTACCATTTCTGCCATGCGTACGCCATCCATTTTTTTCTTTCCTCCCAAAATTACCTCCGTTAGGACGTCCAATACCAGAATCAAAGCCATCTGAAGAGTTGTGTCGTCGACGACTCATATCATAACGATTTTCTGTCCATGAAAAATTTTCAGAATGCTTCTCAAAATTCAGTGATGACTTTGTTGATGATGGCGGAGTAGGAAAATTAAGCCAGGCTGGAGCAAAGTCATGCTGCGCCATTTAGGTCCAGTCTCTCCAACTCAGTGAAACAAGGCTTCAACACCTCATGGCAAGTCCAAATTCCAAGAGGACTGCACAGGAAGGTGCTGGTTTTTTCTCTATAAGCTTTATGTTTTCCAGTTTGTTTTTTTATTTTGTATCCTCTGAAATATCCAAGTTCTTTGAAGATACTTAACCTACGACTATTTGACATAGAGTTATTTGAAGTCAGCTACCCATATTTGTTTTGAAGTTTTCATATGGCTCTATCCAGAATTAGCCAAGTTCCTTGGATTCAAGAGCAAGGTCTTCTTTATTATTCCATGTATTTGTCACTGTTGTACTTATCCACTCCAGATGAAATATCCAATTTATGTGCAGAAAGCAGAAAAAGAAAACTTCACATCTGAAGCTTACTTCTACACATCAGCATACACAGAGACAAATGGCTATCTCAATCCTACCATGCTGGTGTGACACCGGAACATCTTACTCTCCCAAGTAAGGAAAAGGGAAAAGGGAAAAAACTCTGTATTCTTTCAATGTCTTCATTTAGAAAAGCTGTCCCATTGTAATAGGAAAAGAGCCGAAGTCAAAAATTACTAAAACTTTCAATAAAGGTAAAAAGAACTGCCACGAAACTTCAGCAATATTTAAACAGTAATTTTAAACTACTCAGTACACAAATCAAACATATCTTACAGTTTTGGCTGAAGAACACCAACAGGAGAGGGGGAAGAGACGAAAATAACACCAGACGAAATACTTTAACCACTTATATAATCCGTTTGAACCAAAATACTGAAGAAATGACTGGGTCTTTTAGCAGCTTGTTGAATTGGCTTACTACTATCAATTCACTTCAGAGATGATTCTTGTCAATTTTAATAAACTTCTGGGGCAAAATTACCCAAAAAAAGAAAAAAAAACAGAACTGTAATTCCAAAATGGCCACTTGAAATATCCGAGGCCTTTTTTAAAAACCTAGAAGATGATCTTCATATCTGCATAATTCAATCACCCTGATTTGCAACTCAGCCTTTATACATCGTGGAGATTTCCACCTTGGGCAATGAATAAATGTCACTGTCTGTACTCAGGACTTCTTTTATCCTTGGAAGGTCTACCGAAGACTTGTTTCCGTTCTTTGCCTGCTCTCCTTCTCAAATTCTTACTATCTTCAAAGACCTTCTGTAAATCTTACTCCACGGCAGCTGGGTGGTTGGCCCCTGAAGTCCTCCTCCTTCTCAGTGGTTTTAGCACACTAAAAGTTAAGGAACTTTCTTTCTCTTTACCATGCCCAACCCCACCCAATAAGAGACCTAATAGTCAGTTCCCAGAAATGGAAAATGCTCACAGATCACACTTTTGAAAATGATTCAGCAGATTAGATTTTTAATTAAAATTTTAATACATAGCTTGAGTTTCTTGGAAGAATGTACAATGATTTAGCAAAAGGCCTCTCAGACTCTGCAAGGTTTATGCAAATAATGCACCTGAGAATCGCAAGGATTGAAATAAATGGTTCTTTGGCATGTATTTAGATTTTAGGATTATATGTTTCTGTGAAATGATGAATATAAACCACTCTTAAAAAGTAATCCTTGGAGCTGGAGACATGGCTTGGCAGTTAAGAGCATTTACAACTCTTCCAGAAGACCCAAGGTCTGTTTCCAGTACCCGCTTCAGGGACAAGGGCCTGTGACTGCAACTCCGGTGGATTTGATGCTGTATTCTGGGCACCATGGGAACTTGCACACATGTGGCATACACACACACACACACACACACACACACACACACACACACACACACAGACCCATAAGTAAAAATAAGTCCTGAAAATTAAAAAAATAAAGCAATCCTTGCTCTTTTGCTAACAAAGCTTTGCAAAGGGAGACAGATGCTGTAATGACTCTGGAGAATAAGAGAAGTACATCATGCTACTCCTGCCAGGACAACAAGTGGGCTGACAGTGGATCTACACTGTCTCTCCTTCTGCTCCTACATATATAATCTCCCTGGCCTCATTCCCCAGCTCTACAGCAGAAAACCTGCTGCAGTCTCCCTTTTTTTTCCCACTGACCCTCACATAGATCTTTTCCTCCAACCTCACTTCCCCCAACTCATCCTATTATCCCAGCCTCCAACACCAACAGGCATACTCAGGGATCACACCAGATAATCAGGCCAGGGAATCACACAAGATAAGCAAGCCAGGGAAACAGGCCCATAGAAAATTTCCTACCAGGAAGGACAGAGCCATCATACTCTCCTAAAGTCCAGGGGGGAGCAGAAACCAAGGGGAAAAACATTCACCCAACAAAGTCAAAACTGGATATCATCATCCAGACCTAAAAGTATTTCAATGCCAGATGCCTAGACACCCAAATAAGACAATATTACATAACATCCAGGACAATATGTCTCCACTGGAGCCCAGCAACCTTACCACAGCAAGCATTGAATATTCCAGCATGTATAAAGATGATAGAGGCCATTAAAGAAGAAATGAATAAATTCCTTAAAGAAACCCAGGAAAACACAACGAGTACAGGGAAATGAATAAAACTGTTCAAGGCCTGAAATTGGAAATAGAAGCAATAAAAAAATGAAAACTGAGGGAATTCTGAAAATGAAAGACTTGGAAATTCAAACAGGAAGTATAGAGGCAAGTTTCACCAATAGAATACAAAAAATGAAAGAAAGGATCTCGGGCACTGAAGATATAGAAAAAAAAATGAGTACATTGGTTAAAGAAAACGTTAAGTGTAAAATATTTCTGGCACAAAACATCCAGAGAATCTGGGACACCATGAAAAGACCAAATCTAAGAATCATAGGAATAGAAGAAGGAAAAGAAAACCAGCTTAAAGGCCTAGAAAATATTTTCAACAAAATCATAGAAGAAATTTTCCTAACCTAAAGAAAGACATGGCTATCCAGGTAGCATACAGAACACCAAATAGATTGGACCAGAAAAGAAAGTCCCCTCAGCACAGAACAATCAACAGAATAAAGCAAAAGAATGAGAACAGAACAAAGAATGGCTGTTAAAAGCTGAAAAGGAAAAAGACCAATAACAGATAGAGGCAGATCTCTTAGAATTACACCTGACGTCTCAATGGAGACACTAAAAGACAGAAGAGCTGGAATAGATGTGCTGCAGACCCTAAGAGACCACAGATGCTAGCCCAGACTACTATATGCAGCAACACTTTCAATCAACATAGATGGAGACATAAGATATTTCATAATAAAACTAAATTTAAGGAATATTTATTTACAAATCCAGCACTACATAGAGTGCTAGAAGGGAAACTCAACCTAAGGAGACTAACTACAACCACGAAAACACAGGAAATAATCACAGACCACCAAAATCAAAGGAAGAGAAACACACACACACACACACACGCACGCACGCACCACCATGACCACCACCACCACCACCATCATCAACACTATCAACTCCACCAACAACAAGAAAATAGCAGGAGTCAATAATCGCTGGTCATTGATATCTATCAATATCACTGGTCTCGATTCCCTACAAAAGGATATAAACTACAGAATGGATGTGAAAATAGACCTATTCGTTTGCTGCAGCCAAGAAACACACTTCAACATCAAAAATGGACATTATCTTTGGGTAAAGGGTTGGAAAAAGGTATTCCAAGCAAATGCACCTAAGAAACAAGCTGGTGTAGCCATTTTAATAACTAGCAAAATAGATTTCAAACTAAAACTAATCAGAAGAGATAGAGAAGGGCACTACATACTCATCAAAGGAACAAAAATCCACCAAGAAGACAGTTCAGTTCTTAACATTTTGCCTCAAAGCACAAGGACACACACATTTTTAAAGGAAACACAATTACAGCTTAAATCACATATTGACCCTAACTCACTGATAGTGGGAGACTTCCATACCCCACTGTCACCCAAAGACAGGTCATCCAGGTAAAACCTAAGAAGAGAAATATTGGAGCTAACAAACATTATAAACCAAATGAATCTAACAGATATATACAGAACATTAAACATGAATTACCTTCATCTCAGCACCCCATGGAACTTTCTCCCAAATTAAACACATACACATACAAAGCAAGTCTCAACAGATTCAAGAAAATTGAAATAACGGCCTGAAAGCTATCAGACCACCACAGATTAAAGCTGGATATTAATAGCAACAGAAACAAAAGAACTCTTACAAACTCATGGAAATGCAACAACTCTCTACTGAATGAAAAATGGGTCAAGACAGAAATTAAGAAAGAAATTAACAACTTTCTAGAATTGAATGAAAATTAATGTACAATGTACCTAAACTCATGGGACACAATGAAAGGGGTTTGAAAAGGCAAGTTGGTAGCATTAAATGTTTACAAAAAACTCATTAAAGAGGATGTCAGACTAGCAACCTAATAGCACACATGAAAGCTCTAGAATATAAAGAAGAAATCTCATCCAGAAGAAGTAGACAACAGGAAATAATCAAACTCATGAATGAAATCAATAAAATAGAAACAAAGAGAACAATACAAAGAATCAATTAAACAAAGATTTAGAATTTTGAGAAAATCAATAAGCTAGGTAAACCTTTATCCAAACTAACTAAAGGGCAAAGAGAATATCAAAATTAACAAAATCAGAAATGAAAAGTGGGACATAACAATAGACACCAAGAAAATCTAGATAATCAAAAGGACATACTCTAAAAACCTAACTCCACAAACTGGAAACTCTAAAAGAAATAAATAACTTTCTTTCTTCTTTTTTTTTGTTTTCTTACATTTTTAAAAATTTATTCTATATGCTTTTCACATCATGTATCTTGATCCCATTCATTACCTGTGCCTTCGGAACTGAGCCCCTGCACTGCCCCCCAAATAAAAGAAAATTTAAGAGAAAAAAGGAGAAGTTAAAATGAGAAAAATAGAAATAAAAAAGGGAAGGAATTTAAAAAAATCTAATCTAGAAGCTGCAGTGTGACCCATCATGTCACACCACATATCGCTTTGTCTATACATCTCTACTTGCAAGGGTTCATTGCAGAGTTATTGGTCTGGTTTGAGGCCCCTGGTCTCCACAATACTTTCGATGCTGGGCCCCTACTGGAACTCTTCCTGGGCATCCCACTGCTACCCTGTGTTGTGGAGATCCTGCAACTTTGGGTCTACAGGTCAGGTCCCTTCACATGTTCTAGCAGATCATAGAAGGGGTGGATGATATGATCAATTCATAACCCTGGTCTGGGCCTGGGCAGCTGTAGGGTTGGTCTGCCAGATGGGAAATGGGGACAGTTCTCCCATGGTCACAATTTTGGGGCTGGCTCACCTACATCTGCACTAATAGGGTTAGCTCTATTGTACTGCCCTGGCAAGGTACAGGGCCTGCTCTTCTGAGTGATGCAGGTGGTGGGGTGCAGGGATGACTTTCTTGCGGCTGGAGAGTTTATCTCCAGTTCCCACCAAGCCCCCACAGTTCCTCAGCCCACTTATAAAATAATCACTCAGAAGCTTATATTACTTATAAACTGTATGGCCGTGGCAGGCCTCTTGCTATCTAGTTCTTATATCTTAAATTAACCTATTTTTATTAATCTATAAGTTGCCACGCGGCTTATGGCTTACCGTTATCTTAACATCTGCTTCTCATGGCGGGGGCTGGCAGCATCTCCTCACTCAGCCTTCCTGTTCCCAGAATTCTCCTCTCTCTTTGTGCTGCCTATACTTCCTGCCTGGCTGTTGACCAATCAGCACTTTGTTCATTAACCAATCAGAGCAACACATTCACAGCATAGAGAACATCCCACAACACGTTCTCACTCTTATGACCACAGTGTCAGCTTTCCCATCTGCCTCAGGTGTTGATGGGCAGGGAGGGCACCTGTCCTCTGCCCATGCTGCCTGAAGACAGATGGGTATTGGGGACAGATGTCCCAGGCTCATGATTTCAAGGCTGGCTCATCCACACCTGCTTTAACAGGGTGGGCTCTACTGTGCTGCTCTG